CCCCAAAACCCCAAAACCCCAAAACCCCATGAAGCATAGATTCAAGATATTTTTGAGAAATTTTTTTAAGAATGTTCGAGAGCAAATTTAATTACGTTAATTATTTTTAGTATAAAAGAGGCAATTATCCTCTATCTCTAAATACTTATTTTATTTATAACTGAATTTCAAAGATATGGTCGATCAAACACACCCAGTTCTTACTTCATTCAAGCTTGGAGATCTAGAACTACCAAACAGACTTGTTGTAGCCGCCATGACTAGATGCAGAGCTGATCCAGCTGCTGGTATCCCAAATGACCTCCATGTTGAGTATTATTCCGCAAGAGCATCAGCAGGGTTCATCTTGACTGAATGTGCCTCAGTATCTCAAGAAAGCAATGCCTTCCCAGGAGCTGCTAATCTCTATAACGATGAGCAAGTTGTTGGATGGAAGAGAGTTGTTGATGCTGTCCACGCTAAGGGAGGTAGAATTTTCGCCCAAATTTATCATGGAGGAAGAGCTGTTCATCCAGATATGATTGGAGGAGGTGTAACATACTCTTCGTCAGCAATTGCTATCAATGGCACTGTCCACACTTAAAATGGAAGAGTACCACATGCTGTCCCTAAGGAAGCCTCTGCTGAGGACATTAAGAAAGTTCTTAATGACTTCAAGAGATCAGCTGAATTAGCTAAGCAAGCTGGCTTCGATGGTATTGAAATTCATGGTGCCAATGGATACTTGGTTGATGAGTTTTTAAGAGACTCAGTCAACAAGAGAACTGATGATTATGGAGGCTCAATTGAAAACAGGGCCAGGCTACTTGTTGAAATCTTAGAACAAGTCAAGACAGTTTACCCTGCAGACAGAGTAGGTGTGAAACTATCACCATTCAGTAGTTATAACGATATCTAAGATTCAGACCCTATCGCTCTTTATACACATGTTGTCCACGCAATCGGGTCAATTGGGTTTGTTGAAATTTCAGAATTATTTAGCTTTGACGCTACTAATGCAGAGCTCTAATCTAAATTCTTCGCTAATCTCGAACATTAGAGTATCAGACCATACTTGAAGCCAAGATTCTAAGGACTTGCCTTCATTTCAAATGGTGGCTATGATTTATAAAAATCTAATGACGTTATTTCAAGTGGAGAGTCTGACCTCGTATCTTACGCTCAACTTTACTTAACTAACAATGACCTTCCAGAGAAATTCGCAGCAGGCACACCTTTGAATGGACTTCATAACGTTAAGGAAATGTCAAAACTTTGGAGTGTATATTTCTATGGAAGCACTGGGGAAGGATACACAGACCTATCTGTATACGAGCCATGAAACAATAGTAAATGAAGTGGATTTCTTATATTTCAGTAAAATTTCAAATCCTTAATTTATCTAAAACTTTATCAATCCTCATTTAGGGGTTTTGGGGTTTTGGGGTTTTGGGG